GGTAAGACTAACTGGCCTATAGTTTCCCGGGTCCTCCTTCCTCCCTTTTTTGAAGATGGGAACCACGTTGGCCCTCTTCCAGTCCATCGGTACCTCTCCAGAGCATCGCGAGTGCTCGTAAAGTCGTGCCAGGGGACTTGCAATGACCTCAGACAGTTCCTTTAGAACTCTAGGGTGGAGATCATCTGGACCGGCTGACTTGAAAACGTCCAGCCCCTCCAGAAGCTCCCTAACTAAATCCTCGCTAACCCTTGGCCCAGCTGTGCCACCCCCGGGGCCCGAGGGTTGGAAGGGACCTGAACAGATCATCAAGTCTGACCCCTATCCTGGGCAGGAATGAGTGTTGGGATCATAATACCCCAGCCAGATATCTATCCAACCTCCTCTTGAAGACTCCCAAGGTAGGGGAGAGCACCACCTCCCTTGGGAGCCCATTGCAGAGCCTGGCAGGCCTAACGGTAAAGTAATGCCTCCTGATATCAAGCCTGAACCTGCTCTGAATCAATTTGTGGCCGTTATTCTTTGTTATTCCAGGTGGTGCCTGGGGGAACAGACCCTCGCCTATTTTCTGCTGGTCCTCCCTAGTGAGTTTATAGATGACCACCAGATCCCCTCTCAGTCTTCTCTTGTGGAGGCTGAATAGATTCAGGCCCTTTAGTCTGTCTTCATAGGGCCTGTCCCACTGTCCCCTGACCATGCAAGTGGTCCTCCTATGGACCCTCTCGAGGTTAGCCACATCCCTCTTGAAGTTCGGTGCCTAGAACTGGATGCAGTATCCCAGCTGTGAGCTGACCAGCGCCACATAGTGGGGAAGGATCACCTTCTTGGACCTGCCTGTGATGCATCTGTAGATGCATGACAAGGTGTGGTTAACCTTACTGACTGCTTCCTCGCATTGGCGGCTCTCGTTCATCCTGGAGTCAGCAATGAGTCCAAGATCCCTTTCTGCCACCGTGTTGACAAGAAGGGTGTTCTCCAGCCTGTAGGTATGTTTCAGGTTCCTTCTCCCTAGATGCAGCATCTTGTGCTTGTCTGGGTTGAATTCCATTCTATTCTCATCCGCCCACCTCTGTAATCTGTCCAGATCTAGTTGGATTCTCTCCCTCCCCTCCAGTGTGCCCACTTCTCCCCACATCTTTGTGTCATCAGTGAATTTGGACAGTGTGCTTTCCATGCCCACCTCCCAAGTCGCTGATAAAGATGTTGAATAGCACAGGCCTGAGGACTGAGCCCTGGGAAACTCCACTGCCCTCCAGGTTGAAAATGACCTGTCCACCACCACTCTCTGGGTGTGAGCATTGAGCCAATTTGCCACCCATCTGACTGTGTAGGCATCAATACCGCAGTCACCTTTTTTTTTATGAGCATGGGGTAAGAAACAGTGTCAAAGGCCTGCTTGAAGTCCAGGTAGACTACATCCAACTCAGCGCCCGCATCCAAGGACTTTGTGACCTGCTTGTAAAAGGAAACAAGGTTAGTCAGGCAGGATCTGCCCTCAATGAACCCATGTTGGTTGCTCCTGAGCATTACCTCCCATGCTGGGCCCCCGCAGATGTGTTCCTTGATAATTTTCTCAAAGGTCTTCTGAAGGACGGAGGTGAGACTAACTGGCCTATAGTTAGCTGGGTCCTCCTTTCTCCCCTTCTTGTAAATGGGGACCACATTGGCCCTTTTCCAGTCCTATGGGACCTGGCCAGAGCACCATGAGTGCTCATACAGCTGTGCTGGGGTCCTGCTCTGACCTCCGCCAATTCCCTCAGTACCCTTGGATGAAGAGCATCTGGACCTGCTGATTTTTATACACGTCCAACCCCTCCAAGAGTTCCCTAACTAGATTGTCCCTTACCCTAGGCATGGCACTGTGTCCCCTGAGCCTGTCCATAATGCTAGTGGGGGAGTTGTCCCAGTCCCTGCTCAGAAGCATGGAGGCAAAGAACTCATTGAAGAGATCAGCTTTTTCCTTTGTTTCAATCACCAGATTGCCAAGCCTGTTCTGTAGGCGGCCCAGGTTACCTGGTGCTTTCTTCTTACTCCCTATGCATTTGAAAAAGGACTTCTGGTTATCCTTAATTCTGGTTGCCAGGCCTAGTTCCATCTCTGCCTTGACCTTCTTGGTTAGATTTTAGGAAACACTTTCTCACTAGGAGGGCAGTAAAGCACTAGAGCATAGAATCATAGAAGTAGAATCCGAAGGGACCTTGTAGATCTTCAGGTCTGAGCCCCGGCCTGGGCGGGAGAAAAGACTGGACTCAAATGAG